TCACCAAGCTCACAGTTACGCGGTGCCAACTGGCGACGAGGGACTCCGTGAGGTCTAGTGGACTTGCGTGCGGTTATCTTGATCTTTGCCATAGCCTGTAGAATTTAGGATAGGACTATAAGGATAGCTTGAGGATAATGGAGGTTAGCAAGAATGCGATTGACATTGCTGTGGCAGAACCTCCTAAGAAATCGGGCCCACGTGCACCTATTGATGTCTCAACAAACCTCAGATAGCGTACACAAGTTCCCAACAACTTAACAGGTCTGTCGGGTGTCCTCGGGAAACCCGAATCATCCACGAATCTTTTCCAAACAGGATCCCAATCACAGTCATTGCAGATTACAACAGTTTTCAATATACATACCAGAGATTATAAAGCGGAAGACTTAAGTTTTAATATTACAAACCAGTTGTTTCAAACTTACATAACCATAAGTGTCATACAACCATAGTAGCGGGATAATATTACATTAACATTATTTATTTCACACAAACTAGTGCCTTGTCCAAAGGCCATTCATCATTCCTCATCGTCATCGACTTCAAACACTGACATGCAGCAGGGACCAAAACAAGCTTGCACATGAGACTCACCTGCAACAAGGGTTAACAAACCCTGAGTACAAAAGTACTCAACAAGACTGACCCGACGAAAAAGGGCGAAGGTCTTAGGGATGCAGGTGTTGGGTCAAGGTAAGGATGTAGAAAGATTCAAAAGTTCTTTGCGAAAAGCTTACTATTCTTGATCCTAGTTTCAAGTTTTACCCCTAAGTACTTTAGTTCAATATCTCTAACTAAGTGTTCATATCCCATGTTCCAATCCTTCTCATTCCATTCTTTTTCTTATGTTTTAGTAATTCACCAGTCCTGCATTGCTTCTGTAATGAATCAAGTCTCCATATCTGCGGAGCACCGGCAATTCAAATTGATTCAAGTCCCAGCTGGGGATTCCTTATCACACGACATATGTAGAACTTAATCTTGCATATATCAACCTCGCTACCGGATCGTCCTATACTAAGCCGTCTCCACACCACCCGAGAGCACAGCACGCCTCAAATCCGGCCACATTCAAGCCACGAGGGTACACGCTACTCCCACCATCTCACCACTCCCAGTGCGTGGGCATTCGTCTTAGTATCGGATTAGCCGAAGTAGGCTTACCGGAGTATGTGACCAGTACTACAAAGTGTCTCGTTCAGAAGATCCACAATGAGTGGCCTTTAAGCAATATAGTCGGCAACATTACCCAACATTCAAGATAAGTCACCCGACTAGTCTCTAGTTCATTCTACCTTCTTTCTTTCTTTGGCCAGTATGCCATCTTTGATTGTATCGAAACTTTTACTTTGAAAACCTACCATAAGCATTCTACACCTTTGTAAATGCAATCATCTTCAAGGATGGTAAACAATCAACAAGGTAGGCAATGCATCAAGTAGGTAACATTTGAATAAATCAACTTAATGCAATAAGTAACATAGGTGATAAACTTTTCAAAGTAAACAAGGTAATGGTTTAATGCATAAACCGGGGCTTGCCTTCGTTGATGATCTCAGGTTCCGGATTAGTGCCACAATTATCGAATCCCGTGACAACCGGGGATTCTTCCAGGACTTGCTCAACTAGAATCGTTTCACTCTCGGGTTCTACATGAAATGATAACATATGCTTTAACATGATAATAATATAAACATGATGCTTTCATGGTACATGAAATGTAAAAACACCCCGCAAATGATTTTCCTTCACGGTACAGTTGCAAGCCAACAAAAACAACTTATAATCCTACCGTCAAGAACCACACATGTAATTTGACCAAATGGATCTTGAAACCCTACTAGTCACAAAACATGACCAAAACAAGATCCAATACTAATCAAACACTTAGGGTTTGCCTTTATTTATTTTTAAATAAATTTGAAATTAAGCCCAAAAATAAACTTGTTCCAAATGACCTAAAAATTTTATGTAAGCTTCCTCATGACAAATTAGTGCACCAAAACAAATTTCATAATTTTTGGAATTATACAGTGGCCTACAAAAATCATGGAAACTGCATTTATCAATTAATGGACTAAATTTTTTAACATTAAAATTTTATTCAAATTTCAATTTTAAAATTTTTAAACCATACTAGAGCATGTACAGAAGCTACACAAAAATTTTTAGAATTTTTGGAGCTATTATTATTTTCCTACAAATTCCCAAAATTTCAGCACTATTCACAATTTCAGAAAATACAAAATCGCACTGTTCTTCTTCCTCTCTCACTGACAGCCAGACCCCGCTCGTCAGTGACCCAAAGAGGACGCACGGCGGCGCTGTCTGCTCCGATCGGCAAAAGCAAGCGGCGTGGAAAGCCAATGAAGCGCACCGCACCTACATGACCTACTCTTTTCCCCGAACCGATCCCCGCTTACAAAAAGGCAAGAGGCGCACCGGAGATTGCTCCCCGCCGAGCATGGCGCCCTGGGCACGACGGCGTACGGCGTAACCACGGCGACGTTGCAGTAGAGACTAAAGCGAAACGATCATCACGTTCAGGAGCTCACCGTGATCACGTAGGTAAACTCGGTGAAGGCAGAGACGTACTGGATCGACGGGACCACGGTGAGGTCGATGATGGCGGAGCTCTGGCCGGCTCCAAAGAAGACGGCGTCGCGCGGTGGCGCTGACCGGCTAGAGGCGAGGCGAGCAGGTCGGGAATGAGTGGCAGGGCGAGGCGGAGCTTCTGGCCAACGCAATTGACCCCAGGTACTACGGCGAGGACAAATTTCATGGCTTGTCGGTCAGACACCGCCATGAAAGCAATCGACACGGAAACTGAGGAACGACGACGACGTGCTCCTATTTATAGAAAGAAGGAAGGCGTGCGGTGTCGACAGCACACGAGCGAGCTCACCACGGAGGCATCAGCGTGTCACCGCGTGTGAAAGCGGCGAAGAAGGCCGGCGGCGAACAGCGGCGTGCCGCCGGTGGCAAACAGACGATGTCGATTTGATTTTTGAATTATTTATAGAACTGCCACTAAGTCCATTTTTTTTCAAATTACTCTCAAATTTTCTAAAGAAGTTAAAAATCTCCAAAAATGAAAGTTATTCAATTTTTCAAACCCTACAACTTTGCTTCTAGGAATATTTTCAAATTCTGCCTCCATTTTAAAATTTGAATTTGGGGTGTATTTGAGCATTTGAATCATTTCAAAATTACTCCAAATTTTATATGTAAACTTGAAAAACTTTGAATACCAAAGTTGATCCACATAAAATAATCTCCAACTTTGCTTTTTGCCTCAACCCCAAATTCCACATGGATTTTAAATTAAGCAAAAGGGGCAAAAAGGACTTTTGTGATTTGAATTTGAATTCAAATTTGATTTGTCTTCCTTTTACTTAAATTTTGATTTTTGACCAGTAACATGGCCCATTAGGGTTATTTGAGTCAAATGACATATGACCTCACATGATCACAAGAATTTTGACCCTTGTAGTCATGATCTTTATTTAGGGTTTTGAATCACATCACATGAAATAACAACATAATAAAATAAACCTTATTTAGTGAATACATTCAAAATTTTCTACTCTATGAATGCTTTACAATGCATATGATGACATGTCAAATTTTAGTGCTAGGTCAAAACACCAGAGGTGTTACATGTGTTCATCGCTAGGGATGGAGGGTGGAGCATGCTTGTCACCAGAATGAAGGGTGGGATGGGATCTCTCGATGAGAGCAGGGGAGCGGGATGTTGCAGGTAAGAAATTAAAAGTTATGTAGTGCATACCCTAGACCTGAATCTAATGACAAAAGCTTTTTAACTCCCATTCTATTGCCAACTATGGTTAGCCTTTCTCAACCTAAGAGGTAGGTCTCATGTTTGAAACGTGTATTCGAATAAATGAGAAAGTGTAGAACAACCACTAGAGCACTCAATCAAACAAAGAGGCTACTCTCGTCTAGCTAAACTAGTGAAGCAACTAAACTAGCTATTTCTACCAACTACAACTACCCAAGAAAATAACAATGATGTAAAAGCACAAGCAAATAACAAGGATAAAAAATCATCAGTATCTCACAAGCTTGATTGGAGCCCCCCGCATAATCACCACGCGGTGCTCGCCAATCTCAATCAACTCCAAGTTGGTTAGATGACAATGATCACAACAAGAGTAACAAGAAAAACAAAGCCACCACTCTCAAGTCTCAACTAGTGCCATAAGATGAAAATTAACTATGCAACGCTCTCAATGAATTTTTATAGAAAGTTTATGGGCCCAAAATATGTTGCCATCTCAATTTGTAGAATGTTTAACAAAATTTAGATATTATTTTAATTATTTTTTGGTAATTTTGAGATAGAAGATTGAATTATCCCTAGTAAATAATTGTATTTTTCATTTATCTTTAGGACATGTCTATAATATAGTATGTGAGCTCAAATATTTTTTACTGTAATTTTTCGAATCTTATTGAATTCAAAATAGATATAATATGGCCATGTATGGATTCGAATTGTACCTTTGAGCCATCTGATCTGACCCATCTGAAAACCGACCCGACCAATTTATCATATTGGCTCGGGTATGTTCATAGATGTTCACGACATATATTTTAGAAATGTGTGATATTTGGCATGTACCAAGACTAGGGTCGAATTTAAAATAGATTTAATACGGCCACGTATCAAATCACTACCTATTCCATATTATAAATTTAAGATTTAGAATATTTTAATAAAATGATTTTTCCATGCTTATAAAACTAACACGAGTTTGTGCTAGAGTTTGCCAGCTACTAATTATTTGGGTCCGGAGTCTGGCCGAAAACTTGCCACCACTTAATTAAAAAATAAAACTTGCCGCCTAATGGCAGTACATTACATTTTAACTTCGCGCTTAAACTGCCCCACGATCTGAGATTACTGAAGAAACACATCTATTAACCTCTCCCTTCCCCCGTCGTCTCCACACCTGACTCACGCAGCACGCGGCATGGGGACGCCCGCACCACCGATTCCTCAGGGCCTTGCTCGTGTTGCCCCGCGGCCGTGCGCGAGGCGCCGCCGGGCCGCACTTCTCGAGCTGCCGCCGGCCTGCCCTGCATCTTCCTGCTCCACCACGTCAGCAAGCAACAGCGCAAGGATAGGCTCGGGGAAGAAGGGTGAATACGGGCTCGTCGAGGGCCTCGCTGCCGTCACCAGATCCCCTCCCTCGCTTTGCGCAGGATTCCACGAGATCCATGTGTGTATCCGTTTAATCTTTTATCTACTCCTCTGATTTGATTCCTTCTGTGCATGGCCTGGGAACTATTTCTATTAGATGTCGTGGTGTCCCCTGCATGATGCCAGATCTAAAGAAACTGATTGCAGTGGCATCCTTCTTGTCACAGCTACTCGATGTAAAGGAGTGTGATGCTCTCTGCTCTCTGCTCTCTGCCCAGGTCTGATTAATTATTTTTGTCTGCTAGGGCCTTATTCTCTTTTTTTTTAATTAGTAAGCAGTCATTATTGGACTCTAACTTTTAGTAAAGGACTGTCAGCAGCATAAGTACCTAGATAGTTATTATTTTTCAAAGAGTAAAAGATTGAGAGTTGTTAAAAATGTGAACTCTCTGATTTTTTAGTTCTGCAGGAACTGTGAATGTCTCTGAATTTTCAGTTTTGTGTGATCTCATATGTGTCGCTGAACCGTGGAAATCTTGTTAATGTGAACTGATATCTGTTACCAGAAGCTATGATCACACTATGGTCTTATATTACCTTTCTTGGACAGCTAAAAAGGTTTTTCTTATGCTCAAACTGACATCGAAAAAGGATGCTTCTGAAATTTGTGCAGGTAATTTTTGGCTGGGGCTTTTAGAATGTTGTGTGGAATGAAGGTTTGGACACTGGGAAGTTTTTAGGTAATCTTTCTTTGCATTGTACCAATCTTTGTGCTGCTTGTGTGTCACTAATAGATTACATTACATACATGTCTTTTTGATGTAGAGTTATAGACTGAGTAATGCCCAACTTCGAGGCTGGTTAGAAGTCTAGCAGTTGCTTTTACAGTATTGTTGCTGCTGCTTCAATAGTTGGAGTACCAGGGGTAGGGACATGAGAAGGCTACAACCTTTGATTTGAGCATGATTTGCATGCTGTGAATATTTTACACACTCACATATGCTGACATAACTTTTGTCATTTTTTTTATAACTATTGATGTGACTCTTTCCACATGTAGCTATCCAACTAAAATAGTGTAATGAAAAAAATAAGGAATATGCATCAGTAAAAAATATACCCAAGTTATATAAAGGCACTATAAATTAGTGGATTGCTGGGGATTGCATGACGATGCTATGCATGGCTTGTAGCTAGGTAATTATCCATCTTGGCCCAATTTTTTGTTAGGGTAAGAGAGCATCACATTTTTATGTAACCACCTACTATCTAACTGTAAACTTGTGGCTATCGATGTCGGATGTTGTGACCAGACAATTGGCGATGCATTCTTGGACAGGGTAGGAACTGGGTTTCAGTCTGAAGTGAGAGTTCTGAGGATCAACGGATAATAGTTATGTTTGGCTCATAGTTGCAGGGGTCAGCCGAGTGATTGAGTCCTACAAGGCTCTTAAGTACTTGGATGTTTCGTCATGTCCGCAGGATACAAGGGACAGCTACGAGCAAATGCCTGTGCAGTTTCCTGCTGGCTGTAAGTTGAATTTCTATGGCAGTTTCCTGGAATCTGATCCATCTGCTGACATTGTTGTTAATCTTTCTCCGTCAAAACCTGTGCAAGATCCAGAGGTTGTAATGGATGCAAACCATGACCAATATTTAGTACCCAATTCAATGTGCATGTGATTTAGTCTGTAGATAGTAGCGCCAAAGCCCATGAAATAAGTTGTCTGATATATTGTGCCAAGGCAATGCGGCAAGTGTATTCAAAATGTACAGTTTAGACTGGTGTCAGTGTATTGCAGTTTTATTTTTTTATTTTTATTTGCATCGCTTGTACAGATCTTTTTATTTTGGCTTTGTGTCAAACCTGGCTTTAGTGTTTGTTCTGATGTCTTGTGCTAAAATACTGCTCTCACTTGGAAGAATTGGTGGAATGTCAGCTGCATATTTTTCAGTCTCACACCACTCTCATTTGTAACTCAAGAGACAAACATGTATAGTGCTGATAAGAGAACATGTCTAATATGCATAAAAGATATACAATTCCACTAAAAATTGACTATATGGCATTGGAAAATAAAACCAAATAAATAGTTAAGTTTATCCTATGATAGCATCAGCTAAATATATCATTCCTACATACATGATTGCTTTTCTAATGTAACTTGATAAAATTGACATCCTTAATTCTATATCTGATCAAATTCCAAGTTTGTTCAAATTCGGGTCAGGTCGTCGGGTTAAATTTTGGGGCGAATTCCTTGTGAGCCATTATAAAAGATTGCAATTCCTTATGAGCCATTGAAAAAGTTCGGCAGACTTCAGCGCCATTGCTCTAATTTTTTTTGCCCTCCATGTCATTGCCGTTAGATTGGGCTCTAACGGTGTCAAACTATAGGTGTGAAAAGTCAAAAATACCCTTAGGTCTAAATATGTTATTAATTTTTTTGAGCATCTTAACGATTTCAAATGAAATAAAACTCAAAACTAGAAAGTTGTAGATCTTGTCGAGATTTATAATTTTCATATAAAAATTATCTTCATTTAATTCCACAAAAAAAGATATGATTTGATATGATTAATATATCTTAAAAAAATCATATCTTTTTTGTGGTATTAAATGAAGATATTTTTTATATGAAAATTATAGATCTCGACAAGATCTACAACTTTCTAGTTTTGAGTTTTTTCTATTTGAAGTCGTTAAGATAATAGAAAAATTAATGACATATTTAGACTTAAGGGTATTTTTGATTTTTCACACCTGCAATTTGACACCGTTAGAGGCTAATCTGACGGCAGTGGCATGGAGGGCAAAAAAAAGTTGGAGCAGTGGCACTGAAGTTTGCCACACTTTTTCAGTGGCTCACAGGGAATTGCGATCTTTTTTAATGGATTACGAGGAATTCCCCTCAAATTTTGTGGTTGGTGCCCACCCGGCGTGCACATCAGGTCGGTCTATTCCACCTCGCGTGCACACCAGGCTGTTGGGTCAAATTTTGTGGCTCATGCCCACCCAGCGTGCACATCAATCATGATGGTTTAGCCTCTCGAGAAAATATTTAATTCAAACTTACTGTTTACTTAAGATCACTGCATCTAAACAATACGTGGATATGGTTTGCGTTTTGTGCAAGGCAAAGCGATGCGATAGGGTCAAAAATTAGTAGTGATGGGACCATCTATTTTTTTGTACTTTTAAAAACCATATCTGAATATCTCTGTTTGCTAATAGCTATTGTTTGTATTTCCATTGTACATCATGGAAGCCAAGAAAATGGATGAGACAAGCATGTCCATAAAGAAGTGCTGCTGCTTTTGGGATTATGGGATAAATTTTTGTTAGGATTCCTGCTTTTGTGCATTTAGATTCAGAAAATTGGTCTAATAGACACTACTGAACTACTGCTTTCTGGAATCTGAATATTATTACATCATTGGTGGCACTTCCAGCTATCTATTCGATAAAAAAGGAATCTGAATATTATTGCTTTATGATGATAATGCAAACTTAGTCGTCCTAACGTGAGATGAATATGCTGTTTACTATTACTACTACTTAGCTACCCTTGTGCAACCCATTTTAGCTACTAATCCAAACTATTTTTTTTGCCATGTTAGGCTCAAATGAAAGCCATCATGGCTCAGTCTGCACTAGATGGGGAACAACCAAAGACTCATGGTGAAGCCGTTGCTCATGTCTTGCCATAAATATTTTTTTTCTTCCAAATGTTGGCCTTGAGCCAATAGCCCCCAAGAGAACACTACTGCAGCTGCTGCACGTGTACAGGAGTTGGAGTTGCGGCAGAGAAGCAAGGTGCTGCAACACTTGAGATAAACTTCATGGCCACTATTTTGCTACTTGTTGGATCTGGTAATGACTTGGACATGTGACGTTCTTGTATTTTGGTTGAGTTTGAGATGTGACAATTATTTGGACATGCAACTATTAATGGATCTAATTTGCTAAGTGATGTAATGAATGTGGCCATTTTTAATTTGCTTGTTGGTTATAAATTGATTTTTTGGGATGCAATATATATAGTTGGCTACAGTATATTAAATTACCACGTTATATAACAATAATATTTTACAACATTTTATTACCTACGTGGCACCTGCATAGACATACATGGTCAAGGATGGTTTGCGACATTCTTTCCTTGTTAACGACGATAATTGAGCATTGTAAATCAAGGAAGCAAGTATGATTGTCCTAGAAAGTACGACGAGAATATCAATTTTGTCGCAGAACACCTTTAGATACAGGGATAGGCGACGAACGTGTTTTTGTCGCTTGTGCGTCATAAGTTGCAAAATAAGATATAATTTTTAGTTTCTACGGCATAAGTGCAACTTTGTAGAAGGTTATATCTCTTGTAGTGGTGGCTATGTCTAGAACCATGATATATATGTATATAGAGGAAAGTCCACCGGCGCTTATTTGTCTATGTCATTCTAGTCCCTAAACTCGTAAATCGACCGTTTAGATCCTTAAACTTGTTCATTTGTGTCATCCCTGTCCCTAAACTCGCAAATCAATTGTTTAGGTCCTCAAATTTGTTTGATTATAGCATCTAGGCCCCTAAACATGTAAAACACCCGTTTAGGTCCTTAAACTTGTTCAGTTATGTCATCCCGGTCTCTAAATGTTGTAAATATTGTAAACTTGTAAATTTAATATATATTTATAGAACTGTTCAAAAATTATAAATCTAATTCTGTTAGACTCCTGGTAACTTGTACTTTAAATTAGAATAAAATAAATCATCATGTAATTTCTATTTTTAACTCTGTAGTTAAATGAATAAATAGTCACGTATATTTTTATAAATCCTAAAAATGTATGTGCCAATTTAGTTATTGAACTATAGAGTTATTTAAACTACATGTTACCAGGAGTCTAATAGAATTAGATTTATAATTTTTGGGCAGTTCTATAAATATATATTGAATTTACAAGTTTACAATATTTAAGGACCCAGATGACAAACCTGAATAAGTTTAAGGACCTAAATGGGTGATTTGCAAGTTTTCAGGCCTAGATGATACAGCCGAACAAGTTTAATGACCTAAACGAGCGATTTGAGAGTTTAGAGACTAGGACGACACAGATGAACAAGTTTGAAGACTTGATCGGTCGATTTACGAGGTTAGGGACCGGGATGACACAACCGAATAAGTTCGAGGACCACAAGTGCACTTTACTCATATATATGACCTTGTAGTTGGCATGAATTACTGTCAATTTCGTGGCTATTTTTGCCATCAAAATCATGATCTAATATATACTAGTACACTTAAGCAGGCAACAATTTGGTTGAGAACTAGAATCCTCTAGTACTCCATGAATCAGGGTGCAAGCCTTGTTAATGCAGATGGCGTGTGCTAGATGCCGCAGCGTCGATGTCTTGATCAGGGATGCTGTGCTGGTATTTTCTCTAGAGCATCGGCCTCTCCAGCTCATGTCAGGGGGCCGGTGTTTGTTTTCCTAGCCCTTCACACCCAAAGGCCCCACCAAACAGGAGTGTTGCAATACAATACTATAATGCAACAACACACATTGTTCTATACCAACCAAACTAACATGTGGCAATAGCAACATACTACGGCCTCGCTTTAGATATTTAGTTACAATAAATAGCTACATATTGCAATAGTTATGATAAATATTACAACTAAATAAAACTATGGCAATAGCAACAAACTATTACATCACTTTAGAAATTTAGTTGTAATACACGATCTACCTATTACAATGGTCGTGAGAAATATTACAACCCAACAACACTGTGGCGATAATTTCAAGCAATAGCAACACTGTTCTATTTGGTTGCAAGAGCACTAGACAGTTGCAACGCCAATCAATACTAATGTAACTAAATGTCATCATGGCAATATTATTTACCAATAGCAACATTTTTTAAAAAAGGGTTGCTATAGGTCTCACCTCTTGTAACGCCGAACGTAAAAATTGCAATGCGCTATTTTTGTGGCAACACAATCCCCGTATTGCCACCTTTTTGGACAAATATTGCAAAACACACCCCTATTACAACATAATTTGTGGTGATGCAAATGACGTCAAGTGGCAATAGGGTCGAAATCTAGTAGCACAGGTTTCATGTTACATAACATCCTTATAGACAACGGAAGCTCTGTAGATATTCTGTTCATCAAACCATTCGAGCAAATGAACCTCAACAAGCGCACGCTCGAACTGGCCGCAAACTCCTTGTATAGTTTCAGCGGGAAGAAGATTGATGCACTAGGAAAGAAAGCCATACCTGTATCATTCGCCGAGGGCGAAAGGGTCCGCACCGAAACAATCACCTTTGATATAGTGAACATGGATTATCCTTACACTGCTATCTTCGGTAGGGGTGTGCTAAACAGATTTGAGGTAGTGATAAAGCAGAGCTACTTGTGCATGAAGATGCCGTCATGATTCGGCATAATCACATTGCATGGGGACCAAGTGGCAGCTAGGCGAATAGAAGGCAAACCTATCCTAGGTTATAGTCTCATCAATGAGGTGGCGAAGAAGCCAAGTGCGAATGAGGCGAGCAGCGAAGTCAGCATCAGCCCAAGAGCGCAGGCAGCAGAAGACACGAAGAAAACTCCGCTATCCAAACTGACGCCAGAAAAGTGCGTGCACAACGGTACAGATCTTGCACAGGAAG